TACTTCCAAAGTAGAGGGCCTAAAACAGGAGAAACTGGATAGAAAAACTGCTCTGTCATCCCTCAAAACAGCCCTTAATATAGCCATGTCACTTTTTTTTTATTGGTGAATACAATAATTTGCAAATTTGAAAAGTCAGTGCAGAACGTTCATGCTGTATCATTAAAAAGTAGATTCAGTTATGGGGCAATGTGACAGGTAAATTGTAATGTTCTTATTTCATAAGCAGTGACTATTAACCTTATTTTTTATGTACCATGGTTTCTGACTGAACTATCATGATCAGGTGATTTTCTGTCTTCTCGATGTTGAGGTAGAAGGAATTCTTTTAAAGTTATTGTTTTTCCCTTTGCTGTGGATATACTTTATATTCTCCACTTCAGTGCCTACAGCTCCTCACTGAACTCAACCATTTAATTTCTATGTACCATCTGACCTCCTTAAGCATTATTAACAATGCCCCAATATGTTATGCTCCTGTCAGTTTTAGTAAGAAAAGCATTGGAAGCCTTCTTGGGTCATATGAGAAGTGGGCACAGGCAAGGAGAACAAGAAAAATGCATAAGACTCAAACCTGGGGAATCAATGTGAGAGATCCAGACAAAGTGGGGCCTGGAGATGGGAAGTAATTCTGTTTGGAGACATTAGGCAAATCTGATAAAGAGGACAGAGGCAAGACTAAAGATGGAGAAGTGGGTTTGTCAAGGCTAATAATTATAAGCTCTTGTCACTCCAATCTCAGCTAGTTAATAGTAGGAGGGTCAATTTCTCCTTTTGGTTTTCCTGTACAACATTATAATGTTAGTGGAAGACAAATCCCTAGGGAGGGAGTGGCAATTCTGGAGATCAGTCTTGGGTATAGCAATTCATGAATGATATTCACTATTTTATGGGTTTGCCCCCTTTTTTTTTAATTTTGAAAATGTAGCTGACTTTTCAAGCTGAAGGTAGGCCTGAAGTCTAGCCTAGTGGAATTGACTTATTTAGAGTACATATAACGAATAAATTTAGAATTTCTCTCCAAAGATTTAGTCATATAAACAAACTCATAGAAAAGGAGGGCTTATTCTGCAAATTTGGAGCAATGATTCTAGAGTTCTTTCACATACAGTCAGCATGCTGAGGTCCTAAAACGCAGTTAAGGTAAACACTAACATTCTGCAAATAGTACCCAGGCCTCTAGGAAACTTGTTTTCCCCTTCCCACTGTGGGAACATCATGTCAGTTGAGCAGTAGGTTTTCCTTTTGATCTCAATTCAGACATATTCAAGTAAGAAAAGCAATCTTCAGAAAGTAAATATTTTTAGAATGAAGCAGAGAATCTCAAGATGTTCAATTAACATACCTTAAATAACTAGGAAAAGAAAACATACTTCTTTATGAAGAACAGAGAAAGATTTCAGATGATTCTGTGTTATCAATTAAATGCTATGCTTGCAAAATCTCCCATTCAAACTTCTTTTAAATTATTTTCATTATATGAATATAGAAGGGTGGATTTGAAAGAGGGACACACTAAAAGATCAGGATAGACAAAGCTAACTAGCTGCATGGGCCAGAATAATACACTTGCCTCAACCCTATACTAGCTCTCTAACACTTGGGCAAGTCTCTAAAACTCTCTGAGTCTTAGTTACTTTATCTGTAAATTGAGGGGGGTTGGGCTAGATGGCCACTAAAGTTTGTTCAAGCTCTAAATCTATGATACTATTATTTTATGAGCAGTAAAATGGCGCAAATAATAAAGTACCTACCCTTTAGGATGGTTGCGAGGATCACATCAGATAATTTCTATAAAGCATTTTGCAAATCTAAATGAATGCCAGATATTATTGTCAATGGAAAAGAATTTTGCATTCTCCTCTGGATCTCTCCCACCGCTTGTCTCTTTCTTATACATTTATGATGCTCTAATTTGTATGATAGTTATTTTACTTATCTCCTTTACTTTAAGTTTCTATTGGACAGAGACTAGGTCTTATTCATCCTTATAATTTGGAAGACTAGCATGGTGCCTTGAATGTATAGCAGGTGTTTAATAAATGCTTCTTTGAAGTGGTTTTTGAATTCAGTTAAATGGATTAAGGCTGTACACTTGGTATATAGTACTGATTCACATGACTTCTCAATAGAGGCCCATCTTCTCAATTCAGTTTCCCCCAAATAAATTCTAATGAATGAATTACAAGGAAACTCTTAAATCACAGAGATAGATCATCTAGAAGTCACTCTTTAGATTCTTACAAAGTACAGTGTTTCTCTAAAAAGATGTCATAGTCTTTAGAATACTTTTTGGGTAGAAATCAAATCATGGAATCACAGAGTCAGAACTGGAAAGGATCTCAGCAGTTACTATCCTAACTTGTTCATATTACAAATGAGGAAAGTGAGGCCCAGAGACAGTGACTTGCCGAAGATCATGCAGGTTGTAAATCAGAGAGCCAAGATTTGAAAACAGGGTCTCTGTTCAGATCCAACATTTTTTCCCCTGTATCATTCTCTATTCAAAAAGGATTATTCAGTCACCTATGATAAAATAACTTCAAGTTGCTTTCATAATGACAAAAATCACTTTCTTCATCAGATTTAACACTAACATATATCATAACGTCTGCTTCCAGAATCTTGACCTAAATGAACAAGGATTTCTTGATTAAGGGTTTTCCTCAATTTTTGGAGCACACAAAATTATAGGGATTTCTAGCTAACATCATTCCTAGGCATAGCTGAGGGAAACTCCTCCAAAGCATTTATCCGAGTGTTTATAGAAGAAACAATAAAACAACTCTCAAGTTCCTAAGTATGTTGTTATGGACAGAAATTCATATTAAAGTAAAAGTAGAATTCCAGTAAGAAAAAAGGGAGTTGATATCTCAAGCCAATTCATAGACCATTCAAGTCTGTATTGTATACATATTTGCTTTAGTAGAGTGTGAATGAAAGTCAAATGGGTACCTGAGCAGAAGCTGTTGCTGCTAATGGTCCTTGCTGAACGCCCAGAGCTGCTGGGATTGAATTCTCTGCTCTCCTCCTCAGAGAAGGGAGATTCAGATGCTGGAGATACTTTCTGCTGCTGCTGGGGCAGGTGAGGCCGAAGGATCAAACGAGGAATTCGGCTTCGGGAAATCTCCTTCTCATGATGCTGCCCTCTGTGTACCTTCTCAAAATTGGACATAAAAATGAAAACAAAAGGAAGACAGTTTCCCCCCATAGAGCTCTTGTCCTTTTTTGAGAAGTGGTATTTCTGAATAAGGAATCATCTGAAGAATATAATTATTCCTTCTTATATTAGTTATTCAAGAAGAAAAGCATTAACTTCTACTAGCAGCCATCCCTACTAACTGTTCATGATTCTATTGTTACATCTTGCTAAGAAGGCCGTTCTACTTTATGCCCTCCTCCTCTTCCCATTCTGGCATTTTATATGAAATTCAAGCTTTTCCCTCTTCCTAGACTTTTTACACTGGTTTATCATTTCAGTTTCCTCTCATGTTGCTTGCCTTGCCTTAGCTGTGTCATCTGCTTTCTCCCTTCTCAATTTTCTCTCCACATATTTTCCCAAACTACACTCCCCCCACTTGCCTCCCTCACCTGATCTATAATGCAACATTATCTTTCAAATCCCCCTTCTTCTGGCTAGCCTTTCAATTATTCATTAATATCCTCGTACTCAAGGCTCTGGGCCAAGATGAAAACAAAACAAAACAAAAATCTAATACCCAGGGAGATTACTTAAGCTTTTCATCTCAAGTTTTAGGATTATTTTCTCCATATTATGCTCATGAGAAGTGAATTTCTCCTCTGCTTTCTTTATAAGATCAAATACATAGCTACAGATGACTCAAAAACATTAATTATAAAAGCTGAGTTTCTTCACAAATACCCTAAACAAGACCATAACTAGACTGGGGCATTTGGGAGCACTGTCCCCATTTGGGGTTGCCTAAGCAGCAGCTGGATTCTCCCTCAGTTACTTATGAGGTAGCCCATTTTCATGTGTTCCATATTTCTGAAGCCTCATTTGTACAAAATTCCTGCAACCATTTCTGGCCCTATAATCCTATAAATATTTTTTAAGGGAAAACTACTGATTTCCTTCAACCATTCCACTGAAAGGCAAAAAAAAAAAAAGCAGATTAGGAAATCAGCATTTCACAACACGACCTCCTGCTTATTTCCAACATGGGCTAACTAGGGTCAATGCCAAGATAAACAGGGGGCAGCCTTGGGAGCTTCACACAAAGTTGGAAGTCAAAGGAAAGTCACAGGCCTCAATAAGCTCCTGATCCTTCCTACGAATGCCATCTCATACTGTGCCAAAGCACCCACTCCTGAGACTCTCTATAGTCACTGGATCAGTGCTCCAAATCAGCTTGACAATCAGTGTTTTTGCATTCTGCAGGATGCCTAGCTCACTCAATAAACGTGAAATGTCAATAATGTTCTAAATCCTCATTCCCCAGTATTTCCCAGTAATTTGATTTCTTTTATTCACTACAGAAAGATATTCCCACAAACCATAACAATGTGTATCTACCGGCTTCGAAAATCCCTGTTTTTGGGCCAGCAATAAATCTTCCTCAATGGCTGTAAGACTTTTCTGATGTCAAGCCCCAAATCTTTTCCCATCCTACCTGGCCTCACCTCCTTAAATTTCATCACCTGAAAAAATCACTCTCTTCATTCCGCTTTAACCCTACTGCCTTTCATCTCAGATATTACTCACTGGCTCTCACCTTCCCTATCCGCCCCTTCCCCAGACCCCGCCCCTTACTCTGCAGGGCCTCACCTGGGCCCCCGCCCACCTGCCCTTCCAGGAGGCCCCTGGCTTAGTGCCCACTCCCCGCCGCCCGGAGCCCGCCTCTCTCGGATGTCTCCTACCTTGGTCTCCCGGAGGGGCCCCATCCCGCCGCTGCCACTGACTGGCCTGGATCCTTACGTCTCTGTCGCCAACGAGGAGACACCTGAGGACATCAGAGAAGAGGAGACGCCACGCTGAGATGGGCAAGGGGCGCGGGGTACAGCGGCTGCGGCTGCGGCAAAGAGGACTCGGCGGCGGATGCCCGCCGCTCTTCTGGCTCACCCTGAGATTGATCGAGAGTCCAGCCCGCTCCCACCCCCGCCAGCCCGCCCCGGCTCGGACACGTGGTGCCGCCACTGCCACTGCTGAGGCCGCCACCGTCACCCACCATAGGCACCGCGGCTCCTCCAGAGCCACAGTTGCAGCTGCCGTCACCGCAGCCGCCTGGGGACCAGGACCCAGCAGCGCACGCCCAGGACAGCGTGCAGCCTCTTCCCCACCTTGGGAGGGAGCGCGGCGCTCCTCGGGAAAGCTGCTTCCAGGGCAAGGGAACTTTTTCTGCTTCTCCGCCCAGCGCAGCTGCTAGGCTCGGGGACTTGGCACCACCAGGCTACTAGGGCTGCGTCTCTCCCTCTGGAGTCGGTGCCCAATTTGAAATGGGAGGTGTGGTGGAGAGGGATAGCTCTTAAGAAGAGGTGTTATTCTCACTCGCTCGCGTCTCTCAGTACTTCTTTTTGGGGGAGAGGGAGAAAGATGGGTGAGAGTAGGAGAGGCAGATAAATGCAGCAACACTTCTAGTTGCAATGTTCTCTCTCCTTCCACACTGTCCTCTGCCTCCTCTGCTCCTTCCCCTTTCTCTTCCCTCGCCTCTTCTATTTTTCACCCAGTCTCGTCCCTCTTCTCTCCCTTCTTTTTTCTTACTCCCCCGCCCCCTACTTTTACTGTTTATCCACTTTGGATGATCTCTTCATCCAAGAGAGGTGCAGGAATCTTTCTCCTAGGCCAAAGCCTGGTCCCACCCAAATCTGTGCTGCAGGCTGACAACAGCTCAGTTCTCCTATCCCCACGAATCCCTTTTGAACCAAGTGGCTCTTGGTTTCTTGGCACTGTCTCCTGAAAAAGTGCTAGTAGTTTCTAAGGATGAGAAAACAGAGCTGATGAAGGGGGAAGATTAGGTGGCTTTTTCCACTCAACTCTTCAGCTCCACATCAGCAGGGGCAAGGCCCAGGTCTTCTCTTCTACATCAATATAAACTGTCAAATGTAGTCCAGGCACTTTGCTTTAAACATTATTTTTAAAAGGTGGGTAAAGTAGAGGTAAGATTAAAAAGATGTAATTTCCCTTTCCAAGCCGATGTCCTGAGATCAGCTAAATGAACAAGAGAGGTATGAAATACTGAATGAAGTTCTGGGGACCATTTAATGGTATGATTGTGGTGGAATTTTGTTAATAATGAATTCTTTTCCAGACATGACAGTGGAATGAGGGTGTGTGTGTGTGTGTGTGTGTGTGTGTGTGTGTGTGTGTAGGTAGGTGTGTGCAGGTAAGAAGTGTCAAATGTTCCACTCTTACCAAACTCCTGTGATTTATAATAATAATTGTTTTTTATGGATGGGCTTGATTATACTTTTTTAAGTGTATGGTTTGGGAGATTCAGGTGACTTTAGTGAGTGATAGATGATGGACAGATGTTATTTGGTCTTTAACTTCCTTGTATTCATGGAAGCATTGCATCTTTTCTCTGCTTCCCAGGAATAATTATGTTTCTTCCCACTTTCAATTCTGAAAGTAATCGTCTCGGACATTAGATTTGTTGTGGGAGAAACAGATAGAGAAAAGGGAGAGGAGGGAAAAAATAAAGCTAATGAAAGAGAACTGCCCTGTCCAATCTCTTCCCACTAACTCTCAACAATGTGTCTCTACTGTCCCATTTATTTGGGTTTCCAGATGCAAGCATGGTTAAGGAGAAGCAGAATGGATTTTGACCATAGGATCATGGATTTAGAGCTGGAAAGGATTTTAGAGATTTTCTATCCAAACCCCCTTATTTTATGGAATAGGAAATTGATGCCCTGAGAAGTGGAGACTTGTACAAGGTCACACAGATGCTGGCAGAGCTAGGATTCAAACCCAGGTCTTCTGATTCCAAATTAGCACCTTTTCCACTGTAGATTTAAATCTTAGTTCTGTCACACATACATGTATACCTGAGTGACCTTGGGCAAGTTTCTTTTGGGGCCTCATTGCTCACGTGTAAAAAAGAGGGTATTGGATTAGATAATCTCTAAAGTCTTTTTGAAATCTAAATCTTTAACTGGAGTGTGGTCTGGGATTTTTGTCATTGGTATAATATATACTTGATATAACAATGCTATCTCAGAAAATGATTTAAGAAAAATGGTGGCCCATCATGAATCCTGTAATTCAGTATTTCAAAAAATGAAAACCTGTAGATATTTTTTATTACAATTTCATCATCAATGCAGATAACAACTCATCTCTAACTTGTAGTCCTACATAGTTCCTAGACTGCTCTAAAGGCATAACTAGAAGCTGTCTTCCTGACTCTAAGGTAAGAAACAGCTAAGTGGCACAGTGAATAGAGTGCTCAACTTGGAGGTAGGAAGATCTGAGTTCAAATCCATCCTCAGAAACTTACTAACTCTGTGACTTTGGGCAAATCATTTAACTTCTATGTTAGTTTTCTCCACTGCAAAATAGGGACACTAATAGCACCTATCTCCCAAGGTCACTGTGAGGATAAAATGATGTACAGTAGTTTTTCTAAAGTGCTTAGCACAGTTCCTGGCACATAGTAGACACTTAATAAATTCTGATTTCCTTCCTTCCAAGAGTGACTCTATCTACTATATATACAACAATGTCTCTCCCAAGCCTGGAGCTAATTACTATAAATTTGGGAAGAGTCCAAGGTGGAGTTTGTGAGCACAGTGACATAAACATGTTTGAGGAATAGCAAAATTAGCATCTGAAGTTGGGAGGTGCTAGAGAACTGGAATTAAAAAAAATAAAAACAATAATAATAGGATATTAGATTTACAGTTGTAAGGCACCTTAGAGGCCATCTACATACAGTGACTTGCCCAAGGTCATACAGATAGTAAGAAGCAGACCTAGGATTCAAATCCATATTGTCGGACCCTAGAGACAGTGTCCTTTCCACTTCATCAGAATATTCTCAGTTTATATATCTGTGAAATGGGGAGAATGGTGTCAGGGCAGAGAATAGAATAGACTAAATGATCTCTAAGGTCCCTTCCAATTCTAATAATCTATGAGAGAGACACTACAGTTATTTTGACTATTTGGAGAGTTTTAAAACAAACTGCAAAAGGAAATATGAAATTTCCCCAGAGATTAAATAGAGTAAACCCCCAAAATGTGAAAAAACGCAAAAAGGAAGAATTGAGGAGACTACTGGTATGGTAAAGCACACATGCTTAATTTCCATTTTGAAAATGAATCAAATATGCCTTTCTATTTGATGATGGGGCGTGTGTGCCTATCAAATAACATGTATTCAGTGGAAGCTTTTACTGCAGAAGTGCAGGCATCAGAGAGGCTTTGCAGCAGCGGGCTTGTCACCATAGCAACCCTGCCAAGGAAAAGGGACATGATTCAGTAGTCAGAGGCTTCTTAGCGCTCTAGTTTGGGAACCTGTATTTGCTTCTTTTCCTAAAATGCAAATTGGACAAATGATAGTAGCTTTTTGGTCTTTATACTCATTCAAGTATTCCTTATTTCACTAGATAAAATGTTAGCAGTTATTAGAACTATAAACATAAAAAAGTATATAATCCAATATCGAATATCAGATTCATCTTTTTCATGTCTTTAAGAGTCTTGTCTAGAATCTTTCTGACTGCAATGGCTTTCTTTTACAGTACAGGTTGTAATTTTAAGAATTATATTTAAGCCAGAATAATTTCTCATTTTAGGAAATACAAAAGATCAGCTGCTGCAGAAGAATAACTCCCTTAAATTTTGCCAAATTTAGCCAAAAAAATAACTAAAACCAAATCCTGGGAAGGTTTAGGGAATATAGAATCTTGAGACTTAGGTGTGACAAATACAATGCAGCTCCAGATCCCAGGATCATCTGTCGACTTGCATTTATAGAGAGCAGTCTGTCTGTCAGTCAATTAGTCTGAATATCACATCCCTTGTATGTAGGTACGTAGCACTTTTTTCACATTCAGTATTTTATTTGAGCCTTGCAATGCCTCTGAGAGGTACAGTTGGAAGGCATCTTGAAGCCAATTGAGTAAGGAAAGGCTGTTATTGATAAAATACCCCCAGAACCCTGACTTTCCAGAAGAAAGATATAAAATGTACAGCAAAACAGATATAAGACATGCGCAGCATAAAACTTAAATATATCCTTGCTTTTTCTCCGTCTTCCCGGCCCCACCCAAGCACAAGTATTTCCCCATCAAATCCTACCTGCTTGTGCTGGAGTTTCTTCCTGGACTCTCTCAACCCTGATGAAATACTGGCTCTGTGTGTGTGTGTGTGTGTGTGTGTGTGTGTGTGTGTATGAGTGAGTGTGATGTGTGTGTGTATGTAGTGTCTCTGTATTTAACCTGCTGTTGGCACAGCGGCACAGATCAGCTGACAGGGTTTACATCATCGACATGAAAAGTATTGCAATCTAAGCCGTGCCAGGTTTTTTTTTCTTTGTAGTAGATCGCATTTTTTTTTTCCTATTTTCTGACCAGGCTCTTCTAAGTGTCCATGTTTTGCCAGTCAATGCTACAAATATTTATTAATCACCAACTGTATACAGAGTTTTAAGGACAATAGTGTTTATGGTAAAAAGTTTAGATAAGATACATTCCATATTCCTTTGGAGCTACAGCCAGAAATAGCTACAGTACCTATTACAAAAGACGATATATAAATGTGTGAGAGGTGCAAACAGGCAGAGATACAAGAGGGGATTGAAGCTACTAAGACTGAGAGGATAAGGAAGGACTCTTGGAGGAGATGGCAGTGTATTTGAATTGGGCTTTAAAGGGTGCATAGGCACTCAATAAGTGGAGGGGGAGGGATAGAGAACTTTCTAGGTACATATATAGACTATCTCAAATAAAGGAGAAGAAGTACATGAGAGGAGATGCAGAAGGGGGAAGAATGGGATAAAACTGGAAAGTAAACTGTGCCATGGAGTGGCAGGATGGATGAGTAGAAAGGCCATTTTAAGAGACATGTTCTTGGGAATAAGAGAACTGGGGTTTTAATTCAAGCTCTGCTCTTTACTGCCTTGGGCAAATCACTTAACCTCCCTGGGTCTCAGTTTCCTCATCTGTTAAAAGAGGGACAGCAGGGTACAGTGGAAAGAGCATGGGCTTTGGAGTCAGAAATCCAAGCTCTGTCAGAAGACTAGGTTCATATAAGTGTGTAGGCTATTTTTCAGGTCCTTATTGGGAGAAGTCACTGTCTTCCAACAGCTTCTTTCTTTGTCTGCCTAATACCCTGGTCTATCGGAGTCTCCTGTTATATGGAAGCAGCTCTCTTTTTAT